GTGAGTGACGACGGATGAAGTCGTTTAACGTAGCGAGCTTGGACTGCAGCTCGCTCGCTAGGGTTAAGGCTTCCCTAATGAAAGGTCCCTCCAAAAGTGGGATGCTATTGGGGGTAGCCATTGCTAGAATGGCTAACGCACTGGAGTGAATGTACTCTTGTTTTAGTCGTGCTGATATACGGTAAAGAGAAGAAAGTTAGGTTGGATTACGTTATGTGGTGGTGTGTAAATTCAGAGGGACATTGCGTACTCACTCCCAAAGAAAGGTTAGTTAATGTTTAAAATTAAACAATAGAATTGGTTTACTTTTACCTACTGAACGGCTGGGGTACTGCTGTTAAATCTGTAAAATAAATAAGAATTAAACTCAAAGGTTGTTTTGGCCGTGCATACGAAGGTTGGTCTTCGAAACGCGGCGCAGATGTTCTAGCGTTTCATCGATAAAGTCCTGCGCGACTTAGTCTCTTGTTACGCGTACATCGATGATATCCCAGTTGCCTCGTCGTCTACACAAGAACGCCTGCAGCACCTGGAAATACTCTTTAAACGCTTACAAGAGGTAATCAACCACTCCCAAAAAAGGTCAACATTATCCGCAATTATCTAACTCCGCAAACCATAAAACAGCTGCAACAGTTCATGTTAAACTTTTATTGTGGGTTCATACCTAAGGCTGCTGTTAAATGACCAGCTGTGTAACAATGTCAGGGGTAAGATGCCGGTTACGTCGACACCAGAGACAACGGCTGCCTTCAGCGATTGTAAAATTGCCCTGGAAAATGCAACTTTATTGGCACACCTCCGTATCAATACAGCAACGCCTTCTTTACCGACGCATTCGACACCACTGTAGGGACCGTTTTACAACAGAATAACATAGCAATAACGACTGCAAACCGCTTGCTTTCTTCTCCCGATAGCTCAGTGCCGCCGAACGTAAATACGTCGTCTATGACCGTGAGCTTCTTGCTATCTACGAAGAGATCCGTGGGTGTAATTTTACCTACACAAACAATAGCAGCCGGTCTAACAACAGAAGAGCCAGCCCCGAACAATATTGTAGGTCAACAAACCACGACCACTGCAAACGCGTTCAGGTGGAAGGGTTTGTTCTTCTGTGAACTAACCACTGGTGGGGGGTGCTATGATGGTTTTTGCCACACTCACCCCTGTCAGTCTTGTTTTTTTTTGTGTTTATTGTAATTTACAAGTTATGTGGCTCAACGGCGTGAGACCGACGTTAACGTCTGCTTGCATGTCGGTGGTATGCTTGCTTCTTGTTTTATTTTTCTTTCAAGTCATTAATGTATAACACTTTTTAGACACTACTTAGTACTCTAATTTTCGAAAAAGATTGGTTAAAGGTATAACGTCTTTTCGATCAATTTCTCTTTATGTGTGGAGCCCACAAAAGTAATCACCAGAATATGAGAGTCTTTTTCTGATCAAATATAATGTTAATTACAATTTACACACTTACAACATCGCAGAAGAAATTTTAGTTTCGCATGAGACACATTCGTCTTGATAACAAAAACACTTCAGGTCTAAGGCTAAATTCGGATAAGTTGGGTGCAATACGTGAACTCTTTACGAACATGAACTCTAATCTGTTCAAGCATTGCAACCATTCAACTAGACAGATGAAAAATTAGAAAATTTTGTGGGAAATGCTGTTTCAGAGTGTATATACCAAACAGACACAATCGCTCATCATCATAAGGTTGTCAGTCTTAAGACTCCACTAATCTTCGCATTTTCCTAAAAGTAGAACATCCCACATCCTTGACTATTTGCGAACAATAATCTAATGTAGGTCTACCTCTACCCCTTCCAACTCTTGTTTCTGCCTCTAATATGTCTGACTAGACCTTCATGCCTGAAAAGTTGTCCTACCAACCTATATCTACTATTCCTTATTGATTTCCAAAGAGTCCTCTGTTCACTTATTCTTTTTATAATACCTCTTTATTTCTAACTCTCCCTACCGGCGGTATTCTGATCATACGCCTGTAACACCACATTTCGAACGCTTCTAACCTTTTCTACTCTGCCGTGCCCACTGTCCACGTTTTGTTCCCGTACAGCTAGAGGTTTATGTTGAAATATAACCAGAAGCACCATTTTCTTTGATCACTAGGACTGTTGCTCTACTAGTTAGTCTCTGTGAGCCTCTGAAGGTATTGTCTTATTATTATTGGAACATTTTGTAAGAATAGGCCCCCACAACTTACAAAAGTTCAAAGGTCAAGAAAAAGCAAGTATGTTTCCCTTAGGTATACAACGGTTTCTCATAGACCCCAAAAGAATAAAAATGTACTGGTTTTATCAACAATGCACCCAGACAATCATATTGATGTAGCAACAGGAACCTCAAATTACAATTTATTACAATAAAACAAGAACAACAGTCGAAGTGGTGAACATGCTATGCATAGAATAGTTAACTAGTAAGTAATAATAGCATGTCTTATAGTTCCTAATCTGCAAATATGGCTATCATAATCATCATAGAATTGCTTAAATTTAAATCGCCAAATTCGAATGAAACACGTTTTTTCGTTTTATAGGGATAAGTTGATT